CAAAGGGTCTGAATGTGTTCACAATGTTGCTCAAGGATGCAGGGCTGTGTATTTCTGGGTACCTCCTCCTAAAGTTTAAGTTCTAAGGTTTTAAGAGACAATTACATGGTGAGATTGTCACTGAAGAAAAGCCACCAGGTCTTCACTCAGTGACTCTAGTCCTGGTCGACCAGCCGGCAGTACAACTGAAGCAAGCTACTTAGCCTTCAGACCCTCAGTTTTCAGCCTTTCAAAAAAGCAGGTACTAATGGGGACCATCTGGCTTTACTCTGTTCAAAGTCAGTAAAACTACATGGCACATTGCAAGACACTGGACATCGGCAACAAAAGGATGGTGACCTTTGGGAGATAGGTAACAGGGAACTCAAGGACTCTGGAGACTTCCCAGGGCATAGCGCAAGAAGGCCTCAGCCAGGGCTGGCCTACAGTAGAAGAGCTGAGTGGCTGTGGTAGTCTAAGGGGGCAAGGCAATTCAGAGCTGCAGGGGAGAGGGCTGGAGATCTAGGTTCCCAGAGAGTAGAGTAGGCTAACAGACCAGGATGATTGGAATTCTAAATGCAAACAAATCCTACAGGCCAGGGGGGTCTTCCTGCCCACCAGTTCAGAAAACCAGATAGAGCAGATGTCACTGAGCACTCAAATGGTTTTTGATGGTGGGGGCAAACTAGCCATAAGCTAAGCACTGAGCTAGGTCTTGTTTAAAAGCTTAAAACCAAAACCTGAAAAGATCAAATTGATTCAAGCAAGCATGTAACGACCGAAGTGTGAAGGAACAAAAGCACATTCAGACTAATCTCATCATGTAATTGTTTCTTACCTTAGAACTTAAACTTTGGGAGGAGGTACCTGGAAATAAACAGCCTTGCATCCTCGAGCAACATTGTGAATAAGGTACAGCAAGAAACTACCAGACCATACAGCAGAGAAGATGAATAGAAGAGAAACCCAGAAATGGCAGGAACAAGAGAATCAGTGAACAAAGATAAATTAAATTGAGGACTGTATTCCTCAGGCTCAAGGAACTAAATAAAGGTGAGTAGCCATGATAGCTACTTTTTTTTTTTTTAAATTTCTTTTATGTATATGAGTGACCTGTCTTCACACACACCAGAAGGAATCAGATCCTATTTATGGATGGTTGTGAGCCACCATATGGTTGCTGGGAATTGAACTCAGGACCTCTGGAAAAGTAGTCAGTACTCATAACTGTTGAGGCATTTCTCCAGCCCAATAGCTATTTTTTGAAAAGATTAAAAAAAAATTCTAGTAGATGAAAATTTGATATTTTAGACACACACACAGCTACAACACTGGGCTGAGAGAGATGGTTCAGCAGTTGAGCATACTTGTTGCTCTTTGAGAATCCAGGTTTGATTCCCAGCATCCACAGTGTGGCTCACAAACATCTGTAACTCCAGTTTTGGGGGAATCTAACACCCTCTTCTGGCCTCCTTGGGCACTGTAAGCATATGATACAGACAAAGACACAGATAAAATACCCATATACATAAAAATAAACCTTTAATCCCAGTACTTGGGAGGCAGAGGCAGGCAGATATGAGTTGAGGTCAGTCTGGTCTACAGAGTTCCAGAACAGAGAAACCTTGTCATGAAAAGCTCAAATAAAGAAATGAATAGTAAACTTAAAGAAAAAGAACACCTGCTGTTCTTGCAGAGAATCTGGGTTCAATTCCTAACACACACGTGGTGGTTCATGACCATTTCTAACTCCAGTTCTAGGGGATCTGATGCTCTTCTGGCCTTCATGGGCAGACACATATACAAGCAAAACACTCATACATATAAACCTACACTAGATGGGGGCTAAGGTGGAAAAGAGTTCTTGCTCTTTGCAAGCATGGGGACCTGAGTTAATAAGAGTTCCCAGCACTCACATAAAAAGCCAGGTCTAACTACAGCACTGTAGGGCAGAAACAAGATTACTGGGGCTTGCTGACTAGGTCAGACTAGGTTCAGGTTTGGTGACACTCTGTCTCAAGAAAAAAAGGCAGAGCACACTACAATAGGGGACCTCACACCCTCTGGCCCAAGGGAATTGGTGGGCTATGCAATGAAGATAACCACACAAGCACGTCAAAGGTTACGTGAACTGAGTAGTAAAGAGAAACAAACTTAAAAGCAATTAGAAAAAAAGAAAAAAAAACATATGCAAAGGAACAAAATAACAGGTTTCCTGGCCACAGTACAATGGAAGGTAGAGAACCTTCCATTTTCACCAACACAGCTCTAGCCCGAGCCTGAATGCACAGCAACAATGAGTGACACAGACCTGTAATCCCGGTACTCAGGAGGCTGAGGCGGGAAGACCATAGTTAAAAGCTTCAAGGCCAGCAAGGGTTAATGAAACTGTCACATAAGGGGGTGTTGAAAACTCCCAGACACACAAAAGCTAAAAGATTTCATTGTTATCACAGCTACAATAAAGAGAAATGTTAATGCCTAACTCAGGGCAGGAAGCAAACCACACTAGAAATACAAACTTAGACAAAGCAAACCCTAACTCTCTGGATTAACTAAGACTCCTTGCTAGGCTGGGGATGCAGGCCTGTGACCCCAACTTGGGAGGTGGGACAGAAGATATTTATGGTTACATAGCAAATTCAAGGTCTGCCTGGACTATACATCCTGTCTCCAAAATGAAACATTTAAATCTCTTAAAGATCTAGACATACTAGCTCTGGCCCCATAGTGATCGAGGCAGGAGGATCACCCTAAGGATTTTGAGGTAGCTTGAGATATAGAGTAAGAATTTGTCTAAAAACAAAGCTATCTTATTAAAATAATTCAATGGCTTAAAACAAAAACAGTGATACCTTGCAGGACTTTCTATGGCTGAAGGGAATGTATGAAGACCAAGTCCAGCAGGGGAGAAGCCTCTGTCCTGCTATTCTTGTGCTCTAAGAGTTAGGATGCCACATGCGGCTCAAGAGGATACACACTCTCAACTGTCAAAGGTGGAACAGCCACTTAGTTAACAACCATCTCCCAGGGCAACAAGTCATGAAAAACAGCCAAAAATAAGTTAATTAAAAGACATGAAGGCTCCTTAACCAAAAAGCAAAACACATGGAGGGCAAAGGCCAGTCAGATGTCAATGTGTCATCCTGGCTGGGTCCCGTATATATAATAATCCAAGTTTTGAGACAAGATTAGACTAAACATCAGACTTTTAGTTATTTGAGATAGGTGAGGTCTACCAAAACAAGCATGACAACTCAGTTGTTGCAGTGCTTTTAGCGACTGAATCATCCTCCCAGCAAAACTGTTATTATGCAAATATATATTTAAATCTATTAAAAATATAGAATTAAGATGAAATATGGTAGCTAACATTTGTATTTGAACAGAACGTAGATTGATTTAAAAATTTGCCAATTATTTTAGTATTTTGAAGCTGGGCTATATATTTAGAGACAAGGACTCATTCTATTCTAATATTAATTTTTTTAAGATGGAAAAAAAATCACTAATACAGAACCAGCCTCCCTCAATGCTCAAGTATATTTCTATCAGAGAACTTTCATCTTTTAAGAGCATATCATCTCTTAAAAAAATATATATATATATATAGGGAAGGAGTCTAGAGGAAATGGGAGATAAAAGGATAGGGAGATGTGGTCATTATATTCATGTATAATCAAAGAATTAAAAACATTTAAAAATTACCTCCATTATGAATGACCCATGTTAATGTGCCAATCTAAGCCCTTTTCTTTTTAGTGCTGAAGCTGTAGACACCGTAAAAAGCAGTGAACCTTCCAGAAAACGAGTGAACCAATAAAAGCAGGCAGGAGGAGGGAGCTGAGAGCTCAAAGGAAGGAATGCTTGGCAGAGAACATTTTCACAATGACCACACTGACCACTACTCATTTCTTCTGTTAGTGTTAGTAAACAAGTTAGTAAAACACCTTGTGAAGAATGTTAATTTTCAGAAGAGAAATGGACTTAGAGACTGTTATCTTTAAAAAAAAAAAAAACCAAAACATTGTTTTAATTATGTGTGCATGGGTATGTGCACATTAGTGCAGCTGCCTGGATATCAGAAGACAGCATTGGATTCCCTACAGCTGGAGTTTTGTTTCCCTAACACAGTGCTGGGAATCTAATAAAAGTGACCTTAACTACTGAGCCATCTCTCCAGCCCCGAAAAGCAATCAGTAACTTAAGAAACGTGATCATCTTTTTTTTCCCCTTTACACCAAGATCAGCCTATGAAAAGTTTTTTGGGATGGGGCCCGGGAACCCATGCTGGGGAAAAGACAGGCTTAGGGAAGCCTAGGAAGTGGACTGAAGAATGGGATGGGAAAAATAAAACTTAGAAATGTTCTGAAGGTGTATGCTGACATGCGGATGGCATCAGAAGCCTAGATATACTTTATGCGCAATTCTGTGATACTGAAGTTCCTAGCTCTACTGTACTAGGAAGACTGCCTCTAGACAGTATAGTACAGCCTGGCTTTAACTACTTGTCACGCAGAAGAAAGCTCTATATATTTGTGCTTTGAAATATAGACAGATACAGCTCAAATCTGTCTGCAACGTTAAATTAAGATTTAAGTTTTAAATGATGTATTTGTGGTCTGATTAAACTCCTTCATAGACTAATCAGGTATCTTTCCATGAGGGCCTGTTGACATCACGAAGAACAGGAAAAAAAAATTGTTTTGTTTTTTTGAGACAGGGTTTGTGTAGCTTTAGAGTCTGTCCTGGAACTCATTCTATAGACCAGGATGTTTTCAAACTCAGAGATCCGCCTGCCTCTGCCTCCTGAATGCTGGCATTAAAGGCATGCGCCACCAAGGCCTGGCCAGAAAACAGAATTTAATGAAACTTTTACTATGCTAATTTTCCTGAGTTTTAGTTTTTAAAATCTGCCCACCTAGACTGCTGCCTGTTCAATAATCAATAACAAAAACCACCTTTCTCATGAAAAGTTCTACATTTGAGGTGTATAAAGAATGCTCAATCACACAAAGTGGTCAAGATTTCCTTTTACTCAAGAAAAAAAAAAATCACTTCAGAGTCAACCTTCATGTACAAAAGACAAGACCAATCACTTTAATCACTGGACACAAAGGGTATTCCAAAGGCCTTTAAAAATGGCAATTAACATCAAAAGGGAAAATTCATTTTAACTCATATTGCATTCATTATCAACACTATACTTAACAAGGTAGCTATGCTATTGATACAAAACATACAGTATTTACACTTAACTGTACAAAATAATTTAATGTTTACAAAAATATTAGAATGTTTAGTTGACTGACACAGTCTTAAAGTAATTGCTTCTAGAGAAGTATATAGGAAGACCACTGATTCCCATTCATTTCCTTTTTAATAAGTCAAAGAAAGGGTGCTGCAATGCTTCATCCAAGGTAATCCTCTTCGTTGGGTCATACTCCAACATTTTTCGAACCAGGTCAAACAGCTTTTCATGCTCTTCATCGTGACACAGCATAAATTCCTGGAGGAAATGGTCTTGTTACATAAAGACATAAATGAAAATGTGACTTAATCATTAATCTTTTGTCCCTTTACCTTCAATGGCTTGCAGCGTCTCCTAACATATCTCCCAGCTGAGCTATGCTCATCCCAATCTAGCTGGTTATGGTGGAAATATTTGCGCTTCCTACAAGAGAAAAGAAGTTGAAGTTAAAATAAAATAAGCAAAGTTCCACATTTTCACCCTGTCATCAACTTGGTAGGGACAAGACAGAACAGATCTCTCTAAATGTACAGACATATATTGACCCGTGTATAATTTTTTAAATATTGTCAACATGACAGGATCTTTCTTCCTTTTTCATCTACTCTGGGGAATTTTAGTTATCTCAACTAGGCAGTTCACAAATGAGAAAGCACTCACTTTACAAAGGAAGACTCCTAGTGGGGAATTCTGATCTCACCAGATATGGATGGGAACGGGAATTTTTTAACAACTTCCCAGGTGAGCTAGAAAACACTCACTATCCTGTTCAAGGGCGCAGAGCAACAACAGGAAAATCAAACAAGACTGACAGACTCCAGAAAGGATGGGCTCTCACATGTATTTTTTTTTCATCAACTTAAAAAAATCTACATAAAAGTTACTCTGAGTACTAAATTATTTTTTGAAAATGACCTTTTAAAAATGCTAAGATTATAGCTCTAAGTTATCATTTGTACAGAATTTCTTTTTACTTCCAGATCTGTAGTCCTCAAAACAGGCCATTCATTGAATGCATCTTAGACAAACCTTGTCTTTTGGATCATGTGCACTGGGATGGGTCCTAATATCCGCTCCATCATTGCCAGGTGCTCCTTACTATCATGAGTCTAAAAAAAAAAAAAATTCAGGAAAAAGGAATTTAGCACTCTCCACTTCCTTACATGCACATAAAAAAGAAGAGTAAAAATATATGCTGATAAAAAAGAACTAGTCTAAGCTGGACTGTGGTTGCACACACTTGGGAGGCAGAGGCAGGGGGAACTCTCTGAGTTCGAGGTCAGCCTGCTCTACAGAGTAGATTCTGAGACAGGTTGGATTATACAGAGAAACCCTGTCTTGAAATACCAAATAAAATAAAATGAATAAAGGCCAGAGATGGCTTAATGGGTAAAAGGCCCTTGTTGCCAAGATTAAAGATCTGAGTCCAACCCCTGGGACTCACATCATAAAAGAACCAACTCCCACAAGTTATCTTCCACATGTGTGCATTCCCTCAAACAAATTAACAACAAAAAGACTAGATTAGCCAGTTACACAGTTTACATATTCTTCAAAGATGACTGATACTGAAAGAGCTATGCTGTCTTGTGCAAACACAGTACAGTCCAAGATCTATCTGGTAATCAACATGAAAAGTGTCTAACAAAAAATTGCAACAATTTCATTTTCATGAACTATTTAACTAGACCACTATTATGCTTACTTATCCCGAGTAGTATAGTTGTTCTAACAATTCTCACCACAATTCTTGAGCTTTGTTTAGGAATGTGAATTCAAAGAGATTAAGACAAAGGCACATAGCTCATAACTAAGCAAAGCTGACAACAAAAGTCAAGAATCTTATTCAAAACTAACAAGAGTTGCTACACCAGAAAGGCAGCAGTTGGACACATAGGTGAAATGGTGTCTAGTCTAGAGCTGAGGCAAGCTAACTTTTTCTCTGAAAAAGTTATTCAGACAAGATATTTTAGGATGAGCTGCTGGCAAAATACCTTTTCTCTTTATCAGGCAGCAGGGAGCACTTTTATAACAGCCCACACTTTGCCAATCTTTGTTCTAGAGAGCAAAGATTGTGTGTTGTATTTAATGCTTTTTACATTTATCAATTATAAGGCCCAGGCAAATTGCCTTTAAAACACTATTACTGCCAGGCCATGGTGGTGCACGCCTTTTATTCCAGCACTTGGGAGGCAAGTGGATCTCTCTGAATTCGAGGCCAGCCTGGTCTACAAAAGAGCTAGTTCCAGGACAGCTAGGGCTGAAACAGAAAAAACCCTGTCTCAAATAAAACAAAACAAAAAAACCAACACCCCCCCCCCAAAAACCATTATTATTGAGGAATAAATATTACTACTCCCACATTTGTTTTTGTTTTGTGAGACAGATGATTCCTTTTGCAGTCAAGACTGGCCTTAACTTCACTAGGTAGGTGAGGCCTCACAACCTGATCCTCTTGTTTCAGCCTCCTTAGTGACACGACTATCAGTATGTGTCATCACACCTAGCCAGTTCCATATTTTTATGTATTTAGAAACATGGTTAGCATAGCCAGAGCAGAATTACAATTAGCCACATTAACACTAATATAAAGTTCAAGAAGTCCTATAAAACAAAAAAGAGAAAAAGCAGAACATATAATATGAACTCTACATGAATTTCACATTATAGACAGCATACACATTCAAAGCAAGTTACAACCTCACTAGTGGCAGGACTTCAATCAACTGTGCTTTCAGAAGGATGATATTATGTTTTACTTTTAATAATAATGATGTATGGTAAATCTCCAGCATGGAAGCTAAATATAAAGCATATAACACAAAATTCATTAAAGATCATCAAATAAAACGTATTAGATACATACCTGAAAGACTGTAAACCCAAGGTAATACTCAATAAGAATGCAGCCTATGCTCCAAACATCACAAGGCTGAGCCCAACCTAAAGCTATCAAAAACAAACAAGCATGTTACTATTGAACACCTTTAAGCTGCTAACCCTTCCTCACACTCAGGTGCTCTTTATAGTCTACCTGGGAGGCTACAGCAGCAACCTCAGGATTTACAATTTTGGTGCACAAAGCTCAGGCTTGCCTGGAACTTGGCATTTTCCTCAGTCTTACAAGTGGGTGCCACCACACCTGGTCCCATATAGTCACCTTTGTTTATTCCACAATGTTCACCACTGGAAACTTATATAGCAATAGAGTAACATCTTCAGACACTACAATTTGAGCTCTGATCAAAGTTTTCAATCACTATACCTCAATATACTTTTCCTCAGGTGACTAACTGTAGCCCTTTACCCCATTAGTCAATGAATCCCTTCTGATACTAGAGAACTTCATCTCACTCTTTCCCACTGTTATCCGACTGCTAACATCTAAAGCAACTGCTTTCCCTTTACTGCAGCACCCAACTACATTTTCCTCTCTAATCCGCCTTCACCCTGGGGAACACCACAGTATTCTAATCCCCCAGACTCCAGATTCCTTTTCCAGTGACTCCAACTTCAGACCTGTATCAACCAATAGCACCTCTTCTGTTTTGTTTCCAAGGCCCCAATCCCATCAGTGACTTGAAAGTTTTGAGGTGTAATACATACTCTCTGAGTTTCTAAATTCTGCCCTTTCACTTCCAACTTTCTCCCATAATAGCTAACAGAGACTCCTGCTTAAAGTCTCTTTCCTCCTGCTCCTTACCTATCATGTCTAAGTCAGCCAACCAAACCCTGGGCACCTGTGGCAGAGCCTTACTTTGCCAATAGAGTGGAAATAAGTGACTACATAACCCCACAATCACAAGACTATGATGCCTTAACCAAACATACCCACTGTTACTATCACTTGAGGGTCACAAATCATCAGCACTTAGAATACCTTTCACAAACACTGTCACACAGGAGAAACAGACAAAACTCATTTCTGTATTCTGCTAATATCATTTTAGTTTAACCATGACCTTCAACAATTAGAGTGTAAGGAAGTCTGGTGTCTACTAACCCAAAATGACCTCTGGAGCTCTGTAGTGCCGTGTGGACACCAAGGTACTATGATGTTCGTCATCATATGTTGCACTTCCAAAGTCAACAACTTTGATATCTGTGTTTTTCAGTGTGCGTTCATCTCGTTTCTAGAGACACAGTTGAGTAAAGATGAAACTCAATAAAGACATCAAACATTCTATAGCACTACTCATAAAATGTGTAAATGAATCCTCCCTCTTTACCCTTCCCGCCTCTCTATCCCCCCCTCCTGCAACTGGGATACAAGCATCCTATTCCTACTCTATTTGTAGATGAACATCAGATATAAATAGGCTCTGAAGTGAAATTCCTCATTCAAGGACCACCAAGCTACATTAATTTTAAAGACAACACCAAAAATTAAAACAAGTTTTTAACTTACCATTTTAGAATTGTATTTGACTACATAGTCAGACTTCACAAATAAAATATTTTCAGGTTTTAGATCCGTATGAGTTAATTTATTATGATGTAAAACTATAAAGAAAACAGAAAACCATCATTAGTCTCACTTAGATTTCAACTGGGGCTAGGATATGGGGGTCAAAAGGGATTTCACCTTTACCTGTAACCTGCAAGTATTCATATGCTGATTAGATAATAAAGACAATAAAATATACCGTGTATTCACGAATACTTACAATTTATAGATTGGCAGATCTGATAAGCCATTTGCCTGATGTGGTCAATTTGAAATGGCAGAAAGCTATTTTCTTTAATAAAATCATAGGTACTAAGTCCCAGCAGTTCAAACACAATACAAACATGACCATGATGATCAAACCATTCCAGCATCTGGACACATCGGCTAAAAAGAGATCAAAATAATAACTGAGTACACAGAAGTGAGCAGCTCACATAGCATGACAGCTTGTGGTTCAATGTATACTTACAAGACACTGTTGGGGTCAGTGCTGTTCAAGTGCTCCAACACTTGGATTTCAGAGCGAGCTGCCTCCCGGTAACGGCCTACATTTTTTACAATTTTCACTGCTACATGTAAGCCATCCCTTAAAAACAAAAGATGATGATGCTAAATATATAAGCAGTGGAATAAAATTGCATACCCTGTGAAAAGCACTTTCTTTTTTTGTTTTGTTTTTGAGACCAGATTTCACTATATATGCTCAGGCTGGGCTTAAACTCATTATGTCGCCCGGACTGACACTGAATTTGTGATACTCCTACCTCAGTCTCCTAAAATACAGTTGTAATTACATGTCTCCCATATTATTGTTCTAACTCTTTCAGAGTGCATGAATACCTACCCTAGGTTACAGAACATCTTTTCAAAACAAAGCAATCATTCACATAATACTTAGTAATTTTAAGATGTTTTTAGAAATTTACATTTATATTTCATACAAAACATTTTAAAGTGTAACACACATACACACACAATCAGATCATTTGTTCATTTGCTAGGCAGGATCTACTTTGTGCAAAAGACAAGGCACAGGTGCTAGTACTGAACAATGGGACTCACTACTACATGCCTCAGTCTAATGACAAAGGCAGATGAGTATTAAGACATCCTCACAAGAGATGAAGCCCCAACTACCTATACAATAAAATAGCAATTTATACAATCAGACACAACTGAGCCCTGACAAACTGTGAGCCTATCAAACAACTGGCTAAAGACATTATAAGCTATTGAGGCCCCCCTCCAAGCAGACTCATTCAAGTATGTAGAAAAAGCTACAGTAAGAGCAGTGGGCATTTCCATTAATAATTCTTAAAGAATATAAATAGTATTTTGAGAAAATCATGGACAATGGGATGAAAGAAATTTTTAGAGTTTTTTTTTGTTGTTGTTGTTGTTGTTTTTTGGCTAATGATGGAAACAGGACCTTGCTTGCCCATGTCAGCCACACGCTGGGCCAACAATAAACATTTCCAAGTATGAACTCAAGCAGTTTGTTCATGGATAACAGCACAGATCAAGTGGCTATGATACTAAGACTCACCAAATATGTTTAAACACAGATAAACTTTACTTTCAAGGCTACTAGTCAGGCAGGGGCAGGTGGAGCTCTGTGAGTCTGAGGTCAGGCTGGTCTACAGAGTTTAATGATATTTCATTTGTATTTTAATGAATAAAGCTTGTCTGAAGATCAGAGAGAAAAACAGCCTCACTGATTGCTACTCAAATGTAACACAATTAATAAAAACCCAAGGCAGATAGATATTGGGGTTCAACCTGAAGATCAGAAAAGCAGCTAGTCACTGGCTCTTACCACTCTATCTCAGTCTGAAAATGGTGATCCTACCTCCAGGAATCCTCAGAATGAGACTGTGTCTGAGAGCTGTCTCCTTTCATCTTATATTCCTCTCTAGGGCTAGGATTAAAGGCATGCACTACTACTACCAGGTTTCTATAGCTAACTAGTGTGGCTACTGGGATTAAAGGTGTGTCACTACTGCCTGGTCTGTAAGGCTGACCCGTGGAGCTGTTTTACTCTCTGGTCTTTAGGTAAGCTCTATTTATTAAAATACAAATGAAATATCACTACAACAGAGAGAGTTCCAGAATAGGCCCCAAAGCTACAGAGAAACCCTGTCTCAAAAACAAATAAAAACCAAACCAAACCAAACCAAAAATAAACCTCAACTACTGCTATATACAGTAAGCTGGAAAATTATACCCTTTCCAACAATTTCTGATGAAAAAAAAATTAAAGATGTTATTTTAGAAAGGTGTAGCTTCACTAAATTATTTTAAGAAGTTCACTTACAAAAAAGTAGTAAAACCACACATAGAACAGAGGTTCTAAGGGACATGGTACAATGAAGTAGGTAAGTATATCCCAGAGAATGTAGACTTTATTCTACAGGTCCTAATGGAATTTCTCTGTAGTTCAGAAATCGCATTTTAATATATAAAACTGGAATTACTTTATTGACTCTGCAATCCAAAAGTAGCTGAATCCTACTGAACTTGAGTACTCCTTTAATTAGAGTAAACTCCATCTGAGAGAAACTGCCACACCAACAAAACTAATACTCATGGCACATAAATGATATTGAGTTACAGAAATCTTGTTGAATACCTCTCAGAAAAACTTGCAGCAACCACTTTAAAATACATTTTATTAAAATAGTCAAGAAAGAAAAAGCAAACTTACATGCCATGGTCAATGCACTCTACAACTTTGCCAAAGGCCCCTTCACCTAAAGTGTCCACGATTTCATCTAAAGTGAGGGAGAGAAAGAGAGTCTAAGTACCTGAGTACAATTATACAGTTGTTCAAACAATGAATGCTTAAGTGTGGCATATTTCCAAATGATCTCTAGCAAAACATAACTAAGGTTTCATCGCTCAAGTTATTGTATTTTCAGCTGCTACAAAGCAATTAGATAGAGCTATCTGTCTTGCTCTAATCTCAAACTCCACTGATTATTTTGGAATTTAAAGAATAGAAATATTTAAATTCTACAGAAAAGAAGAAATACAAAAGAACAAACAAACCCACAAAAAACAAAACAAAAAAGCAATGAAGAGTCTTTAGCCCCCCGCTGACAAACTATTCTTTAAAAGATTATTCTGTCTGCAAAGTTTAAAAAGTGTTGAAAAATATTCTATACATCTTGCTCTTAGAACGTCTCCACTTTGACAGATCAGGTGACCCTCCTCATCATCCTCTATACTCCTGGATCTTTTCCTTCGGTGGCTCTTCTGGAACGGCAAGTGGGCAGCACCAAGATCGTCCAGCCAATCAATATATCAGAGTGAATTCAGGGCAGAATACGCAATTCATTCAGCGGGGAGATATTCAGGCATTCAGATAAGCACCAGGCCACGAACAGTTGGCAGGAGCAATTTCAAATTCAGTCCCCAGAAATTCACAGGGCACAGTTTATGTTACAGAAGAAAAACATGGCAAGGAACAGATTTTCAGATAAGATACTTAAAGTGGCAATAGAAAAAAACAACACAATTGTCTCTTTAAAATACTGATTTAATTGAAGTCTGAAGTTTAAAGAATGCAATGTCAAGATTTACTATTTTCTGATATAACCATATGCTGTGAGTTGAGTTGTCTAAGTTTGTCAGAAAAATGTCAAGATTAGTTGAAATTGTTCTCTTTTAGCAACATTTAAAAATAGATATCATAATAAGAAGGGGAAGTAAAGACTAATTTCAATCTTCAATCTAGTAAATGCTAGTTCTACAGAAAAAACTTGGGGAGGGAAATGGTACCTTGAAATTTACGAATTAAAGCTGTCTGGCTTTTTCAATACATTTCCCATTCAGAACCCAGTTGAGAATTTTAGCAAAATTAACTGCAGACAATGATGTGCTGCACTAGGAGCTATACTACACACTAGTCAGCAACAGCTAAGCACCCCAACAGTGTGACTCGCCTGAGTTGTTTCCAATTATCAGTAAAGCAGTTTCTTTCAAAATAATTTAAAAAATGTTTACATTCAAAGAAAGATATGGGTGCCTCAGTTTTTAAATATACTGCACAACCACAAAATAAGATGTTTTACTATTAAAACCAACAAGCTCATGATCTGGTTTGCAGAATGAGTAAGTGTGGGCAAGTGAAGACTAGCTAATACACAGGAGTCAGTTATGAGAATGTGTTCATTTCCTTTAAGGATTCAAGTAATATAAATATAAATTATAGCATATCCAAATAGCATTAAAGAAACTTTTAGAACCTTATCACTTTTTTTTTAGAGCCTTACAAATAGAATCCATTCAAAATAAAAACAAATCACTCATACCGAATGTGACTGATGACTTGTACAGTGTCTATTACGCTTCCTTTTAGGGCTGCTTCTCCTGCTTCGTACTGAGGATTTACTGCAGTGGATCCGGTAAGAGCTTTCAATGTCTCTATGATAATGTCTGGGAACATATCCTTCGCAGTAATCATTTCTGTACTCATCAATGTATCTTCGATCCCGATAATCTCTTTCATTCAAGCATCTTGCTTCTAAGTAGTGACTGCAAACATATTAAAGAATTTCAAATTATTCTCTTCATTCTGGAATAATGTGGTTTAAACAAAATTCTGAAGAATTCTTGGTTTAAATAGCTAACTCAATAAAAAGAAAAATTCTAATTGATGAGATGAAATTTGTACTTATCTCAGATAACTTAATAACTTTAACCAAATATATTTTTCCATATATAATTTCTATAGCCAGGCATGTTGGTATATGCCTGCAATCCCATCATTTGGAAGGTGAGGGCAGGAGGATCATGAATTCAAGGTCATCCTGAGGTACACTGCAAATCTGAAGCCAGTCTGGGCCACATGAAACCATCTCCAAAAAAAACAAAACAAAACCCCCACACATTGCTGCCAACAATTCATACCAAGGAACAAAGCTTTAATTACAATATATGTATAATTAAATGTTCCTTTACCTTCTGAGAAACCAAGACCAAATCTGCAAACCTGTTCTGCAATACACAGGAATCTAAAGATAGCTTCCTTTCCCTCTCTCAGAGCCACACACATTCAGAGAAAGGCAAAAGAGAATTCCTTTCCCTTTAAATGTAAGCGCATTTTTGGATATCCCAGACAGATTCTTCTGTACTGTGTATCACAGATACAAGGAACCTTAAATGTATTTCAGCCCTTTCATTTACTAACTCAATTAAGATCCCTAAAGGATATGCCATTGTTGCAGAGCACACTAGTGGCAAAAGCTAAGATTTGCAAACTGTCACTACTGCCCTACATGTCACCTATTCTATCTCCTCTCTTTTCTATGTTTAAGTTTTCTGACTCCTGTTTTGAAAATCAGACACCAGAACTTCTGAGGCCTGCCTAGTGTGCCAAACACATCTAAAATCGACCCTCCTAACAAGAAAGGGTCCAGGACCCTGGATAGCCTCCTACTCTACTTGCTTTGCATTTCTTATTATTTTTGGTTGTTAGCCTAGCCTTTTAATGGTTGAGCCATCACTCTAGCCCCACTTTGCATTACTAATTTCCTGTGACTCTTGCAAAATACCCAAGAAATAGAAAAGAAAACAGCATTTTCTAGTGCCACAGTGCTTCTACAGATCCCTTTGAGAACCTCATGGGAAAGGTTATAGACCCTTTCCCCCGAGAAATGTACAAATGCATAAACAAAACTTGGCAAGAACTTCATGGAGGTCATGGACCTCAAGAAGTCAGTGGATCCAAGTTAAGTGTCCTGATCTGATGGAAAGAAAAGGACAGATTCATTTGGCCCAGTTTCCCATCCCCCCTCTACCTGGGATGAGTGTCCTCTTCAACAGAGTGCGAAGCTTCAAGAGGGATGCACATGGAGCACTGAGGGAGAGAGGGGACACCTGCCCAGTCAGACAAATCAGCTAAATAATCCTGACAAGCAATGGAGTGACAGATGTTGCTGAAGCTGCCCCCACCAACCCCTTTATACTCCCCAGAATATGCTGTCATTTCCTTCCCAAGTGCTGGTTTAAGCAGAAACAGAGAGAAACATCCCTAGGACAACTACTCAACAGGACTGGCATCTAATTCAGGCTGGGTTTTCTTATTGCCTAGCATCATTCTCAAGTTCTTCCTAACCTCTGGAGAAACAACTCAGGCTATTCAGATAAAACTCTAGGCCTGAGTCAATTGGTCTAAAACAGAAATCTGGATGAAACACAACAAACTAGATGTCATACTTTAAGGGCTTCCTACTTAATTTTATAAGGTATCACACCCGCCTCCACCACATCCAAAGTCTACCTTAAAAAAAACTAGACTGATAATCTTTAACTGGAATACTATGTGAAACTGGCCCTGCTGACACTCTATCAATGATAAAAAATGGAAGTGGTGATGTACTACCATGAGTAGAACTAGCATGAGAAGGACCTTTCCAGTTTATCACAACCAAAGACCAAAGGTTAAAGATTAAAGTCCACAGAATTATATAAGCTGTAGACAGGGTAGACAGAATAACAGATTTCATCTTTTAAAAATATCCACTGAATGCCCAGTGAATATTTCATTGTAACTTTTCAAAACAGCCCAAACTGTTGAGTGCACTGAAATTTGTTTTTATTTCCACACAGGTCCTGTGGGAGATAAAATAAAATTATATAAGGCAAGGTCTCTGCCAACAAATGAACAACTTAAGATTACTCACAAAGAGAAAGAAAAATCAAAATCAAAATAGACAAATGAAAAATAAGTTGAAAAGGTGCAAATGATCACTTAGACTCAGGGAAGGCAAAGAATTCAGTTAGATTAAAATGATTAGGGAAGAATTCATGACAAAGACAGATAAGCATCTTAAAGGAAAGTCAGGATTGGACAAAATAGACAGCAGAAGAAATTCCAGGAGAACAGTAGAGTGCCATCTAACACACAGACAACACCACCAGGCAGAGGCTTAGGATGCATGTATCTACAGTTAGACAGCAAGTAGATGACTGTATCAAGAGCCAATTTTCACCCAGGAGAATGTCATTAGAAGCCCCCCCACACCATACTATAGGTGTTTGTGAAAGGAAGGCCTAGTAGCACTAATACTGAATACAAAGTTTGTAAATGAGGACCCAGGCCACAGAGTCTGAATCTTAGTCTGCATACCTCCTAGGTGATTTCCAGTCATGAAATTTATCAAAGGTTTAAAACTTGGTATTCTGTGTTACGGGGAGACAAATATATAAAGGTTATTTACAGCTATGTTGGTCTTTCCAGTATTTGAGACAATAGATTAATTAAGTCTCCTGAAAGACAGAGACCAACTCACAGGCTACTGCCAAAAGTTAAGTCAGGGGGAAAAGGTTTTATAATGCATGTAACAAAGGGCTAAAATAATTAATACATAATAAAGTCTTATAAATCAGTAAGAAACATACTTTAACAGAAAACAACTGATGTAAAAATTCTTCACAACAAATTCACTAGAAATTTAGAAATTCAGATTAAGAAAACAATTTAAAACAGACAAAACTAGAGACAGCATGAAGGAGCATGTTATAAGCATTCTAGAAAAAGAAAAGAGAATATGCAACAAGAACCTTGTGAGATTTCATACCCTTTAACTTGAAAATGCCTCTTCTCAGAATCTACTTTCACAGGCAAAGATTTGTACACAAAGACCCTTTAGGAACAGACAGTGAGAAGTAATTCAGTAAAGGGCAATAGTTTCCAACCTGTTGCTCCTTTATTCTTTGTTCCTTCAATTTCCCAGTAATTTTATTAAAATATTTATAAAATGTTTAGCTTTCATTTTTTTTACAGTTAATGAATATTCTGGATTAGGATGAATAACCACCACAATGTCCGGTGTCAATGTCAAAAATGGCAGTGCTGGCTTAGTGGTTAATCAAACTGACTTGTTTTTTTATAATTATGATTTTTTTATAATTATGAATTATGTTTTTTTATAATGATGAATACAAATCCCTCAAATCAATCTTTACACATATATAATATATACTAGAACTATGAATAATTAGTTTTAAGATGATAAGCCTTAAATAGTATTTTGTACTTTGCATACTGTAATAGTGAGGTACAGACAATTCGTATTGTGTATTGTTCATTACTAAGGTCTGGTCATTCAATCTTGCCATAAACCTTACCCCTCACATAACTGTTTAATAAAGCATGATTATTGTACAGGAACTACAAACAAGCTCTTTGACAGAATAACTCTGTTTAGCACGGAGAAGGAAAAAAATTACATACTGTTTTTTTAAAGTAACCCCAGCTGGCTAATTTAGAAAGCAATCTGGTAAACAGCCCCAATGGAACATCTGTACAAACAAGGAGAAAACATAGAACCAACAAAACGAATGAAAAAGGGAAATTAATGGAAGGCAGAGTGAAAGAAACTACTCACCTAGCCTTTCTTTACTATTTAGAACTTTTAAGATTCTTTTAATCCTATGTACATATATTACCTTCAAATTTTATACCATAATAAGATTTCCATAATTTTTTAACTAAGGCTCTATCCTAAAAATCTCAGACAGACATACCCATTGGTTTTCTTCTATAAACATACCCTGTAGAACACAAGTGACAAATCCTCAAAGCACTTCAATGTTCTCAAAAGTATGCTGCCTTTCTCATTTGTATTAACCGCCCTCCGTGACATCTCAATTGTGAAACACTTTTTGCACACCCAAATATACATACCATCTTCCTATACAATTTAAAGCCACTTATTGGGTATCATTATATATATCCTTTTGCATCCCCCTCCCTTTTGTGATGAAGGGGTTTTTAAGGATTTTAGGACATCATGCATAGACGGTACCAAGTGTTCTAGCATTGAACTACATCCCCAGAGTCCTTATTTTTCATTCGCTTGGTGAGCAACTATCTGTCTCCCATCATTCCCGGCCAGATATATGAGAGACTATTTTATTCACAGCTATAGTCTCAGCACTACAGAAGCTAGCCTATAACGGCACTCTTAACTGCTTTTTGAATGAATAAACATGTTGCCTGAATTCTAAATTTGATAAAAGCTATAAAAGTAAATGACAAATTTTTAAACCGTTAGAACTTAAAATACAAGTCATTTACCAATCAGAGTCTTTAAACTGATGATGTGGTTTACAATGCCTGTTTTCTTGTGTACTACTGTGAGATCTCCTCTTCCGTTTGTGACTTCCACTGTAGCTGTCATGGCCCCAGCTTTCTCTGCCATCCCAATCGGGGCAGTGAGTTCGTTTGGAATGCCGCATCTGTTAACCAAGAGGAGGAAAGGGTGAGCTGGAAAGCTAAAGATGGTTGTATAATTACACACAGGGCCACACAGGTTCTTACAATCTTTTAGGTATATTTCCCAAAGCTTAGAACACATTAGCACTGCTATGAGATTGACTGATGAATGGGACTGACCTAATACTAAATGATGGGCAACAATGAGCCTTTAACACATTTTCTTTCACTACTTAGTAAAAGGAGAAATCCTCAAGTTAGTGTTTGCCTTCAAAAATACTCATTGACTTTAATCTCTTTTGTGTTTTGAGACAGGGTTTCTCCATGTAGCCCTGGCTGTCCCGGAACTCACTCTGTAGAACAGGCTGGTCCCAAACTCAAAGAGATCTGCCTACCTTTGACACCCAAGTGCTGGTATTAAAGGCATGCATTTAAAGGATGCACCTAGCTATCCTTTAATTTTTTTTAAAAAGGGTCAATTAAAATTGCTCAAGGACTTGAGAGATTAGTCAGCCAGTAATGGACATGCTGTGCAAGTATGAGGACTTCATTTCAGATGGCTCACATCCATATAAAAAGCCAGACACCATAGAATTCCAGACCTGGAGGTGAGGGTGGGGCATACAGATTCCTGAAACTCATTGGCTAGTCAGTCTAGCTTAACTGGCAAGTACCAGGTTCAATGAGAGACCTTGCGTCAAAAATAATAAAGAGACATGGATACACCCATGTTGACCTCTGGCCCATACATGAACCAGAATGCACGTATGCATCCCTGACACACAAAACAGTTCAAACATAGACAAAGCATAGACAGAATGATTTCGTTATCTTCTGCTTATGCTGATGTCTTAATTAGGTCACTCTTATGTTAACAATTTTACCAACTGAGCTATACTCTCAGCCTCTGAATTTGGATTTTAAAAGTCAAGACTGAAATGATTAAAGAAAAGCACCCACACTATATTTATGGCTAGCTCACCCCAATAGTATCACAAATGTTCTTCAGCCTGGCAAAGCATAATACAAACAATTAAAAGAGAATCATGGAAGTGACTGGTTTAAAGGTAAAGAGCCTTTTATTAACGAGGCTTCTTTTTCCTTAAACTCTGTAGAGTTCCTTTCTCTAAATGCCAGAATTAGACCGATCTTTAAACTGAGACTTGGCCAGTGACATCAGATAATGGTAACAATGCTCAGACTTCATTTACAACTTCCTTTGTACAGCTTGTATTCTCCCAGGCTCAGTATCTAACATTTATCCTTTTTGAGTGTCTAAATGCTGCATGCCCTTATAATGAGGCCAATGGACAATTTGCCAAAATTAGTTCTCTCTGTTCACCACATGGGTCTCTGAGATCAAAGATCTGCACCTTTACTCACTTAACCACCCAGTTTCCCAAAGCAGTTTTTAAAAGATTAATTTTATTTTTAATGGGGGGAAAGCTGCACATGACTGCAATTGTTCACGGAAGCCACAAGAGGGCACAGGACTCAGGTCCTTTACAAGAGCAGTCAGTACACTTAAATCTCTGTGCTGTCTTTGCAGTTCCAGTTAAAAACACTGCTAAGCAGGGTTTAAATGGTTTGTGTGTATTGGGGGGACGGGGATAGGATGGGACAGGACCACAGCTCAGCAAAGGAGCTGAATAAAGCCCCAGTGGAGCAAAAGCAACTTAACCACCTTCAGTTTGCCTAAACGACTGAAAAATATGCTAACAAAAGCTATTAAACTCCAGGCTTGGAAAGAAGGCAGTTTCTGTTCTTGCCTCCAAGGCGCTCCTAAGAAATGATGTGCATCACACCACAGGGTGTGATATCCACATTCTTTTTCTGTCTTGACTACCGAGGATGTAATGGAAGGCGGGGGTGGTAGTGGTGGTGATGGTTCCGAATTGCTAGGCGAGGACTCTACCACTGATCTGTATCCCCTGTCCAAATATTCAGTAAATTCTATTCTCTTTCTTCTAGTTCTGAGCAGCCTTTCAGGCATCTTTCTGATAACGTGGCTTCTCTTTTAGCTCAGTTAAAAAAAATCAAGTACGGGTTAAGTCACCCCCTCCTCCTAAATTCTTGCCTGTTACCTCAATAAAAGTAAGGCAAGCATTCCCTTTGATATAGTCATTTTAATATGGCAAAATAAAATAAGCACTACAAATTTACTTATGGCAAATGTCAAAACTCAAACTTTCTTCAAAAAAGCACTCTATTTTTACTGGTATTCTGCTGACCCATTCCTTCTATTATCAAAATTGTATTTTAGCCACATTTAGGTTTTGGTCTGATTAAGCCTTTTTTTTTTTTCTTCTGTTTCTTTGGGAATTGAATCCCGAATCTCAAGCATTAGGCTACTAAGCACTCTTAAGTAACAGCAGGCAAATTTACAGCTTCTGATGACTCATCATAACGACTGTCCATTAAGTAGGGTTTCACAAGACTTATTTATGTGCTTGCTTCAGTTCCCTCCTCCCCCTTAGATTTCACCCTGCCACGCCAGTTTACTGAATTGAGACAGAATTCTCAAATTATATTAACACGCAAACATTAAAATTAAAAGCAATTCCTCGTGAGAGCCCAAGAGCTGTATTCCTTTATTTATCTAGATTTATTATTTAAAATCCAGCAGTTGGTCCCAGTCCCGACCACTCCCGCTGAACATCCCCCACCCCCTGCTTTATCTCCAGCGAAGTTCAGAACTAATTTTCTTAGTCAGGTGTGGAGGCACATGCCATGGTGGACGCAGAGGCAGGCTGAGCTCTGACACAGCGGGTCCGATGACAGCCTGCTTTGCAGAGTGCCACCTTGCCTCAAACAAACCAATAAAGAAATCTTTACTTATAAGGCAAAGTGAAAGATTTCAGGTCTCATATATGAATAAAGAGTTCCTTCTCATACAGGGAAAGGAAAGCTACATCAAAATATTACACCATCTCTAATACTTAAAAAAAAATACGCTACATGCTAAAATCTTGGTGTCATTCAATAGGATAACACAATGAAACCAATATGCATATTGGAAACACGATTCTCCACCACCCTCTTAAAAACAGAATGGTATCTGGCAACTCCATGCTAAACACAGGCTTAAAAACATCGGGACGGGAGTTTCCAGCCTCTCAGAGGGCTGCATTTTCTAAGTGGGGGACAAGGGGCAGTCCGGTGCTTGCTCAAAGCTGGGTCAAGCAGCGGCAGCGACAGAAGACAGGTGACTACCGGCCCACGGGGTCTGGAGGGCCGACCACTCCAGCAAAGGGTAAAGAGCACCGTTCGTTCTCGGCAGCGTTAGTACGGGGGAGAGGCGGCTCCAACAACCAACCAACAAACAAACAGGCTGGGCGTGGCGATGCCCGCCTTTAACCAGGCCGCTCGGGAGGCAGAGGCAGGGGGATCTTCGGAGTCCCAGGGCAGCCTGGTCTCCACGACGAGTTCCAGAGCTGGCGGGGAGACCTCTTCGGGGAGCAAAGAACCAAATCCAAACCCCGCTGCCCCAAGGGCGGACGGACCTTCCCTCCCAAGCGTGTTCTTCGAAGCGGGAGGCTCCGGGATCGCCGCAGTGCCCGCCCCACCTCCCCCCGGGCAGCTGGCCAGGACCTTTGGCGCAGCCCGGCAGGGCGAACGGCGGACTCGGGAGAAGCCTCCAGTTCCGCACACTGCCAGGGCCGCCGAGAGGAGCGAGGAGGGGTGCGGGCGACCCGACTCCCGGGACACCAGCGCCGGGGACGTGCCCAGCCAACGTCTCCCCATCGGCTCCCACCATGACCGTCCAGCACCCGCGGGCCGCGACTTCAGCGGCGAAACCGCAGCAGCTCGGGTGTTGTCGCCGCCGGCTGAGCGGTGCCCCGCCAAGACAGACAGCCATGGGCGCCGAGGCCCAAAGCCCGTTCTTTCCTCAGGCACCTAGCTCCGCGAGGCCCTACCCGCCTCACCTCCGCAAAAGCGGAAGGCCTATTGGCCGAGAAATGTCGCCGAACCGCCGCCGTCGCTCTCCAGCCGCCGCTGCGACAAACACCGACAAAATGGCGTCCGCGCCGTCACCCCACAACCTCCTCAGGTGGATCTAGCGCCACCTACGCCGAGCAAGCGCGCATGCGTCACGGAGCCTCGGGCCCGCCCACAGATTCCGCAAGGGGCGGGGCCTGTGACGTCAGGAAGGGCGTGATCATCCACACCGCGGCTGCGCGGCGCGGACGGTGCTTGGAGGAGGAGGTTCTGTCAAGATGTACCTGGGAGACCGCCCTGACTCTATGGCGCGTGCCAGTCTCTTAAAGAATTTTTTTTCTGGACGTGGCCGCCCTGGGCAGACCCAACCTCTGACTCTTTCCCTTCATCCTCAAGTGGGACACCCATGGGACTCGGCCTGCCAGTCATCGCTGAACTTTTCCCGGACTTCAGCCCTAGGCAGAGCCATTAGAGCATAAAGTCCCCAGAGGCTCAGTGCCAGGTCCAGGCTGATGGAGCCAGGGCAGCTCAGTGACCAGGATATGTTAGTCACCTGGCACTTCCGCTCCAAACTGGATTTGGAGAAGTTTATCTGACGATGTCTCTGAAAACAAGCTTAGGAGGGGCTTACCCTTTGGGGGGCATTTACCCCTCAGCCTGCAGAGCAAAAGGAATGGGGAAGTTTCTCCTGAGACTTCTGAAGGCAGTGGGGCAGAGGTGGCGCCTGCTTTTAATCCCAGCACTCAGCAGGCAGAGAGGCAGGTGGATCTCAGTGTGTTCCAGGCCCGCCTGGTCTATGGAGGAGTTCCAGGACAGCCAGGGTTGTTACACAGAAAAACAAAACAAAACAAAAAAAGAGACATTCTTTCTGACAGTGGTAGCTTCATCCCTTTCTATTATAGTTACTAGACAAATGGACATTTGTGGTCAGAAGACATTTTTAATTTCCAAGAACTGGGCTTTTATGCCACAGGCCTGTAATCCCAGCATTTGGGAGTTATTGGCAGGAGAATCAGGAGTTCTAAGTCATCCTGGGCTACATAAGTTCAAGGGTAGCC